GGTGAGGAGGAGGATCTTTGCTGGCGAAGTGGCGGCCGTTCTCCTTGAACCCGAGGCCAGCTCATGGAGACCGCTGGTGGAAATCAGACAAGCCAGACAGGTTCGCACGCGCTCGGCGCCCTGGTGTGCTAGGGGAGTTCAGCAAAAGGACGTTGAGTGGGTCATGGATCAGAACTGCCAGGTGCAGGCTTCCGTGCAAATTGCCTTTGATTGTCTGCATTGCTGCTTACCTTTCCTCCTCTTCTTGCCCATCTCTCGTGATTTCTCTGATCCTTCCGTTCATGAGCTGCCTGAGGTGCGAGGCCTGACTAAGGCCCCTGGGGTTCAGCATTGCGATGTTGATATGTGCACCTTTGGATCACCCTATTTGTTCCCCACCCTCGTTGTCGCCTCGCCTGGGGTTTCCTTGGACGCGTTCCAGCCTGGGATTTGCAGGGGAGATGTCCCCACAGGTGCGGACACTCGGCTGCCCGCAGGAGTGATGCTGGCAGGCTCCCATGTTCGGCGTACGGTTTGGCCTCCAGTGTCCTGGCCCAGGCTTCGTCCAGGTCTGTGGATGGCGACGCTTGAGCTCTCCGTTTCACCCCGCTCCCCCCCTCTCCTGCATGTGCACGTTAGGGGGTGCTGTCTTCGCCTTCCTCTTTCCCCTGTATGCAAGGGCTTCGAACCCCTTTGGCCCTTAGGTAGCGAGCGAGCGAGCGAGGAGGAGGAGGAGGAGGAGGAGGAGCAGGAGGAGCAGGAGGAGGAGTAGGAACGGGGGGGAAGAGGAAGGGTGGAGGAAGCAGAGGGGGAGGCAGGAGGAGGAGGAGGAGGAGGAGGAGGAGGAGGAGGAGGAGGAGGGAGGAGGAGAGGAGGAGGGGGGGGAGGAGGAGGAGGAGGAGGAGGAGGAGGAGGAGGAGGAGGAGGAGGAGGAGGAGGAGGAGGAGGAGGAGGAGGAGGAGGAGTGGGGGAGCAGCGAGAGAAAGCGAGTAGGAGCAACCAATTCTGGAGGCTTCGGCCCTCGACGGAAGTGGGAGGGAAATGGCGGGGACCAAATTCTCCCGAACATCAAGGAATATGGCCTCTCCGGGCCTTCTTGAGAGTCCCTTTGGGGCTCTCTTGACCCGTCTGGGGCCCCCTTTGGCCGTCTTTAGGCGTTCTTGGGCTGTCTTGTGGGGCTTGGGCCGTCTAGGTGCGCTCTTGCGGATCCGTCGTGGCGACCCCCCCTCCTCCAGCGCATCTACAGAGGGCCCCTCTGTCAAAGCCGCAAACGATGGATGATATTCTGACCTGGGACTCGCCCCCGGGACCCCCCCTCCCGGGACCCCCCCCCTGCGGGGAAGGGATTCAACGGAAGGGGCTTCCCTTCGACTCAATGACAACGTTGTTAATTTCGCTTTGGCTGGGTTGCTTCATTTCGCTTTTGCTGGCGCGCTTGAGGACGAGGGCCCAGGGAAAGAGGGGGGGAGCGGCGACGGACCCAGAATAGAAGACGACGAGTACGTACGAGGACAACCACGACGAACAACCCGTTCCACACGCCGACAGGGTCGGCGGATCTATCGTGTTCCCTGCTGCGCGCCCCCCGCGAGCAGGCTGGTTTCTTGTAGCGGGCCAGGGGGGGCCCAATATCCCTGGCCTGGTTGCCCTCAATGCTGCGCAGATGGTGGGAGGGCCAGACTTCACCTCGCTGTCTGGGGTCTCTCATTCGCCAGCTCAGTGCTGCTGCCGACGCGCCCTCGTCCCTTCAGGAGCCCGCGGCCCACGAGTTGGCCCTGTGCTTTTGGATCCATCCCTCCTTTTGCAGAATTTCTGCAGTGTGTGCCGCCTTCGGTTTTCCGAAGACCCTCGGTGTGGAGCTCATCACCTCGTCTCCTGTCCTTCGCTCGCGACTTGTTACTGCCTCTGCCCTGTCCGCGCCAGCTCGCTCATCTTTAAAAATGCTCACATGCGCCGACTGATTATCCAGGATCTTTAGTACACTGTCCTCAGCAGCGCTCTACAGATGCTGGCGACTTGCATTGCGCCTTCGAGAAACGACTTGCGTCGTGGCTTCCGCTCTCCCTGCAGGTCCTTGCTTCGTCCCAGTGGACGCAGGCTCGTGAGGTTCTCTAACAGATGTCCCTCCCGACGGCCTTTGCTGTTCTAAGAGCCGGGCTAGGCGCTTGGACCGCTGTCCGCAGGTTCCAGCAGGTGGAACCGTGCATTCCCCGTGCTGATGGCGATGACAGCCTCAAGCACACGTGGCCATGCCCCTTCTTTCTCGAGCTCCTCTCTCTCTCTCTCTCTCTCGTCCTCCACGACCTCTTCCACGGGCGCCCCCCTCCTGCCCCCTCCACCACGTCCCGTTGCTCACCTTGGCCTCCCTGGCCCGTCCTCGCACCCTGTCATCATCACATGCGCTTGCAGCCGCCAGAGATTGTGTGCGGCATCCGCAGCGGCGCCTCCGTCTCCCCGCAGAGAGCGAGGCAGGCCATTCCCACAATACTATGGCGCATTCGGTTCGCCCGGGGCCGCTGATGGCCACGTGGCCTCCCTTCCGCAGGCCACGTGCGAGACGGATGAGGATGAGGAGGATGAGGAGGACCAAGACGAGGAGGAGGAGGAGGAGGAGGAGGAGGAGGAGGAGGAGGAGGAGGAGGAGGAGGAGGAGGAGGAGAAGGAGAAGGAGGACAAGCAGGATGAGCAGAAGGATGAGCAGAAGGACAAGGACAGAGCCTTCAAAACCGCCTCTTGGAGCCCCTTGGGGCTCTTGTGGGGATCTTGGGGTCCTCTTGGGGCTCTGTTGGGGAGTCTTGTGGCCTTCTTGGGGCCCTCTTGGAGCCCTCTTGGGGGTCCTTTGGGCCTCTTGGGGCCATCTGGGAGGCCATCGATCAAAACGGGGGCGGTCCCAAAATCCCCTCCCCTGGGGCCATCAACCTCGCCCTTCCGTCAGGGGGGGCCCCTTGGGCCCCTCTTGGGCCTCTCGGCCATCTTGTGGCCATCTAGAGGCTTCAAACATGCATCGGAAGCGAAAGGGCGAGCAGTTAAACATCACTGAGAGAACATAGAGCCGTCTTGTGTTTCTCGTCGGGCCCCTTGGAGGTATGCTGGAAGCTATCTGGAACCGCCGTCGGCTATCTTGAATCATCTTGGAGGCCATCTTGGAGCATCGGTCGCCCTCTTGGGGCCATCTTGGGCCAGCTCGGACGCCCTCAAAGTCCGCGTCCCTTCCCAAACATCCTCAGAGAGGGAAAGGGGGGGACCTCTCCCCGAAGGGAAGAGGGTTTTGGACATGGGAAGCGAGATATCGCCATACAATTTTAGCCCAAAGGGTTGGAGGGATAAGAGAGGAGGAGGGGGAGGAGGAGGAGGACGAGGACGTAGGAGGAGGAGGAGGAGGAGGAGGAGGAGGAGGAGGAGGAGGAGGAGTAGGAGGAGGAGGAGGAGGATGAGGATGAGGAGGAGGGAAGAGGAGGAGGAGGAGGAGGAGGAGGAAGAGGAGGAGTAGGATGAGGAGGAGGAGGAGGAGGATGAAGAAGAGAAGGAGGAGGAAGCCAGAAACCTACAGGGGTTCTCCAGGGCGGAGGAGGGGGAGGAGAATGAGAAAGAGGATCAGGAGGAGGAGGATGAGGAGGAGGAGGAGGGGGAGGAGGAAACGACATTGTGTACGAATGCCACGCCAGGCACGGACAGGTTCACCAGCATGAAGGAGCTATCCCCCTTCGCTTTCGCACGCGGCCAGCCACCACCTGCCAAGGATCACGGCGATGGCAGCACTGCGAGACAGCACAAGAAGGACGAACGTCCCCGAACATGCGGCACGGCGCGCGCGCGCTCGGGCGCTCACGCGCGCCTCTCTCGCTACCACGACGGGCAACCCACCAACAACACCGCCGCTTGAGGTAGCTGCAGCGACAAAAAGAGCAGAAGCCGGAGGAACCATACACTGTAGCCTGGCCAGCCTGGGCCAGACCACCTCTGGGCCCGTCGAGGTCGAGGGGCGGGGGCACGGGCTCCTCCTGGAGACGGGTCCGTCCGCAGCCGCTGGACGACACCCCGGCGGAGAGAGAGGGAGAGCTTCCTGTTGCGAGCGGCTCGGTCGGGGAATCTCAGCGGGCGAAGAACGGTATACCATAAACTTTTCTGTCGCTGGGGGCTCTGCCGCAGGGCGGCCAGGAAGTTCACGTCTACCTTGACGTGCCCCGTAAGGGTATCAATTTTTCAGCCGCCCTGGGAGAGGCGCCTCCGACGGCGAACAAGTTTATTTTGCGCCGTTCTTCGCCCGTTGAGAGTCAAGCAGCAGGCGCCCCGCGACGCCCGTGGAGTCGCGGCCACGCCTGGTGCACGTGACAACGAGGCCCTCGGAGACCCAACGCCTGTGCGCCTTCGGGCCGCTTCTCGGCACCCCGACGACGCCTCCCGATCGCGGCAGGAGAGCGGCAGCCAGCACCCCTGTGGCCTGCGACACAGACGGGCGGCCTCTTTGGACCGCGCGCCCCCTTTCCGCTTCGTCTTGTGGGCGACGATCAATGGAGAGGAAGCGCGTTGCCAAATCATTTCCAGATGCCAGACATGGTTCAAGCACGTCGTAAACATGTCACACACAGGTGTAGCCAATCTTAGCACATTTGTCCAACATTGAGAGCACACTTTCCGTTCAATGATAGGCCTGTTGGAGTGTCCATTATCATGGCGTCCGCAAGTTTCGTCGGTGGGCATGAAGAGGCGAGGCCGACCCGCGCGGGAATCACGACAACCGCGAGGGGCAGGTCATCATCCCGAGTCAGGGCGGACAGCGGCCTCAGCACGAGCCAGGGCAGCACTGTCGTCGGATCGGGCGTCCGTGGTGGCAGCGAAGGTCACGCGCGGTCCAGCCGACCTAGCAGGCCGGACATCGGTGGAGCGACCGCGCACAGAGACAGCCGAGATCGTGGATCGAACGGCACGGGCCCCAGAGGGCCCAAGGTCAGCAGCAACACGAGGAGGAGAAGGAGGAGGAGGAGGAGGAGGAATATCAAACAGCCCTGGCCCCCCTCAAGGACGACGAGGACGACCTCGAGATGGTCCACAGCACAAGCGCGGCGGACTCTGGCAGCGGGGTGAAGCGCAGGCAGAACGCTGAGAGGAGGGGCCTAGCTGGGTACATCACACTGACATACACAGTATCTTCTTCTTCTTCTTCTTCGGAGGAGGAGGAGCCAGGAGGAGAGGAGGGACGGGGATGAGGATGTTGCGTGGGAAGACGTGGCAGGAAACAGGAGGGGGCATGTGGGTGGAACATGTCTGAGTAAGGGAGAGTTCTGAGTAGAAGAGGCAGTATGGAAGAGGACGTGGATTTTGGGAAAGGGGAATGCAGGAAGCTTGCGAATGGAGGCAGGGGGATAATAAGGAAAAGAAGTAGGAACAGGAGGAGGGTCAAGGTGGGAGGGTGGGGATGGGGAGGATGAGAAGGCTCAGTTTGTTTGGCTCACCCGTCGTCCTCTCCTCGCGTCTCTTCCTCTCCCTGTTTGCTCTTGCGCTTTTTCTTCGCTTAAGAAGGTGCCCGATCGGCCCCAGTTGCAAATGGTTTGAGGCCCCCTCTTCGCCTCCCCCGCATCTGCAGGAGGCGCCCCGCCAGCCTCACTGGAAAACGTTGTTTGGGTCACGATCGCACCTCGAGGTGCCCGACCCTGCCCCGTTTGTAAAATGCTCCGCATCCTCTTCCCCCCCCCCTCCCTCTCGAGCCATCACTCTCGCGGTCCTGCGAAGTGCCCAGCCAGCCTCGCTTCCGATGCTCTGGCTCCGCTTTCCCCTTCCGTCCCCCCGTGAGCCGCCGCGCCTCCTGCAGGCCCTTGGGCCTGCACCTGGGCCGCCCTGCCTGGGCCGCCGCAGGAGGAGGAGAAGGAGGAGGAGGAGGAGGAGGAGGAGGAGAAGGAGGAGGAGGAGGAGGCGGAGGAGGAGGAGGAGGAGGAGGAGGAGGAGGAGAAGGAGGAGGAGGAGGAGGAGGGAGGGAGGAGGGAGGAGGAGGGAGGAGCGGAGGAGGCGGAGGAGGAGGAGGAGGGGAGGAGGGAGGGAGGAGGAGGAGGAGGAGGAGGAGGAGGAGGAGGAGCAGGAGGAGGAGGCGCGGCTGAGCGAACGCTCGGGGCCGAGGGCGGCTTCGATCTCGCCGAAGGGCTGCAGCTGGAGTGCCAGGCGCGCGCGTGCGCGCGTGCCATGAGGCGCCGCAGGAGGAGCAGGAGGGGGAGGAGGAGGAGGAGGAGGAGGAGGAGGAGGAGGAGGAGGAGGGAGGAGGAGAGGAGGCAGGAGGAGGAGGATGAGGAGGAGGAGGCGGAGGAGGAGGAGGAGCAGGAGGAGGAGGAGGAGGAGGAGGAGGAGGAGGAGGAGGAGGAGGAGGCGGCTTGTCGTGCCGGGCGGGCTCGTCTTTCTCGCCGTCGTGGCCCTGGCCGGCGGGTGGCTCGCTGCAGCGCTGCAGGCCCGCGCGGCTCCGGCTGCGCCGCCCTGCCTGGGCCGCTCTGCGCCCGCCGCGCTGGAGCGGAGCCACGTCAGGAGGGAAAGAAACACACAGACACCTTTAATCGTCGATCTCCAGAAAATATGTGAAGATATGGGAAGTGGGGGGGAAGACTAGGACACAGACAATACAGGAAAATATAGGGAATCCTGTTATCTGTGCCTATTTATTTGTGTGTCCCAGGGCCCCTTCATCATGTCCGACACTTTCTGCAGCGTCCCGAGGTTTTCCGGCCATGGCCCGCTGCGGGTGCCGAGGCTGCAGAGTTGCGCAGGGTTCCCTCCTTCCCGTCCTCCGCCTCCTCCTCCTCCTCCTCCTCCTATTCCTCCTCCTCCTCGGCGTGGTTCTGTGCGTGGTCCCCGGCAGAATGCGAAGCATTCGAGATGCTTGGTGCGGCCGGATACCACTTGGCATCAGGCACGCGCTGCACAAGCACATCTAGACACGCATGAGACAAACGCCACTATGATTCTGCGATTCCGAACTGGCGTTGCTCGTGGAAGACGAACTCGGGCTTGCTCTGGTCCCCCTCCTCTTCCCTCTCCTGAAGTTCCCCTCCCCTCCACCCCCCTCCCCTCCTGGCCCAGTCCGTCCTGGCCGAGCCCCCCTCCTGCCTGGCGGGGCGCGCAGGGGCAGCTTGGCCAGCTTGGAGGCCGGCGAGGCGCTCGGCGTCACCGGCGCGGCGGCAGACGGCGCCTGCGGGGGCAAGGGGTGGGAGGGCGGGAGGGGGGGGGGGGGGGGCAGGGCGAGGAGCAGTGTGGGGGGGGGGGTCTGGAGGAGGGGGGGGGGGGGGGTTGGGGGGGGGAGGAAGAGAGCAGTGAGGAGGGGGGAGGGACAAGGAGGAGGGGGAGGACGGTTGGATGGGTGCCCGGTGACCGCGGTGATGGCGCTGGTGGTGGTGGTCATGATGAGCATGATGATGGTGATGATGAGTGTGGTTATGGTGGTGACGACGGTGGTGGTAAAGATGGCGGGGGTGATCATGCGGGGGTGACGACGACGATGATGATGGTGATGATGGTGATGCTGATGATGATGCTGCTGATGATGATGATGATGATGACGATGATGATGGTGATGATGATGGTGATGATGACGATGATGCTGATGATGATGACGATGATGATGCTGCTGCTGCTGATGATGATGATGATGATGATGATGATGATGATGTGGATGATTATGATGATGGTCGTTGTGGTGGTGGTGATGATGATTACGTTCGTGTTGGTAGGGGTGACGATGATGAGGAAGATTGGATTGGAGGATATAGGAGGAAAGGATATGGGGGGACGGACGAGGAATCTATTAGTTATGACGGGGAGGGGGGACACAACCACTCCCGAAATCAGAACAAAAACATGCAGGGGGGCAGGTGGCATATAGCAGCCACAACTTCGAACTTCGCAACCAGACAACTGACCCAGCCACGTGGTAGTCACAGCAGGAACTGCGTACAAGGAGGCGCCGGACCTCACTTACGGATGCAGTTTTCCGACGGGCCTGGCTTGTTTTTTTTTTTTCCTTCCCTTCCTTTCCTAAGCCTTCTAGTCTTTCCTGCTCCTCCCTCCCTTTCTCTTCCTCCACCTCCTCCTTCGTCTTATCCTCCTTCCTCCTCTTCCTCCTACTTCCTCTCCGTCTCTTCCCCCCTCTGCTTCCTCATTCAGGTCATCTTTTTTCGTCAGCCTGGTCGTTGCTCAGGGCTGAGCAAGAGAGGCCTGACAGAGAGAAAGAGGATGGGCAAATAAATCAAAGGTGAAGAGAGGGACATGCGGCATGTGACGTCTTGCCATGAGTGCCCCCAGCACGTGTATAGCACACCTGCTGGAATCAGGGAGGGCGTGGACGGCGAAGGACGCTGGCGCGAGGGAGAGCGCGGGACCTGACCACCAGCAGGGGCTGCCTGGGGTCAAGGGAAGAAAAAAACACCCGGACCCGATTATTGCCGTTTACTGGACGGCCCTGGGCGTGTACTAAACAGCCTTGCCCTGTTCGATTCCTTCTTTGGGTGTGTTTTTTACCAAACGGCCTCGCTTGTCGGGGTGGCTATTATGGGGTTGGATTTTTTGCCCTCTGTGGGGGGCCGGGACAGACGCGGAGAAGAAGCACGCCAAGCACTGGCGGCTGGCGGTCCTGCTGACGGTCGCGCTGACAGCGCACAACTTCCCCGAGGCGCCCGCGTGCGGCTCCCGGCACGCGGCGTCCCGCGCGCACGCGCGCGCCCTGGGCACTCCAGCTGCAGCCCTTCGGCGAGATCGAAGCCGCCCGCGGCCCCGAGCGTCGCTCAGCCCGCTCCTCCTCCTCCTGCTCCTCGTTATCCTCCTCCTCCTCCTCCTCCTCCTCCTCCTCCTCCTCCTCCTCCTCCTCCTCCTCCTCCTCCTCCTCCTCCCCCGTGTGGGTCGTTCCAGAGAGGGGCCCTTGCCTTCGGGGAGCGGCGGTGGTGGCGTCGCGCCTTCGGCGGAGGCCCGCGGAAGGCCTGCGGATGCTGGGGGCGGTGGAGCGAGGATGGCTTTTGCCGGCGGAGGCCAGCCGACGGCCGGCAGACGCCAGAGCAGGCGCAGAGGTAAAACGTCGCCCCCTGAGGGGGTCAGCCCCAGGGCGCCCAGGGTTTGGGGAGTCGGCCGTGCGTGAATGCAGTGTTGGCGCCGGTAGGCACGCTCTCTTCCCCTGGCTCTGCTGCCGTCCACGCTGCACCGGGTTCTCTAAGTTCTGTCTCCTTCTAGGGAGCCTGGTCTCAGCAGGGAAGATGTTAGCGCGTTGGCTGTCGCCTCAGTGGTGTCCGCTGTTCTCGGTTCGGCCGATGGTGCACCCCGGAGGAAAACACTCCGTGCTTGCTTTTCCCCAGGTTGCGACTCATGCAGCTTTTTGAACTGCAGTCAGTCGAACCGCCAGTGCAGATTCCTGGACACGCCCGTCGAGGTTTTCATCGCGATCATCTTCGACTTCAGGGCGCGTTGTCCGTCATCATCGTCCCCACCACGTGCAGCCATTCTGGCTTCTGAGTGCTCCGTGTGGTAACGAATCCTCGCTATCTCCGCTTATCCGAAACTCGAACCGTCACGTTTCAACAACGTTTTACAAGTTCATCTTCCATTGTTCAAGCCCTGGGGGAAATGCTGCAGTCGATCAGCTACAACGACGGCGTCCTGGTTGCGTCCCTGCTCTACTCCTGCACGGACTGTCGCTTTGTAAGAGCCGGACATCCGTCCCACTGTCAGGCCTGGAAGGGGCCGAGTGTGACCCTGCATGATGCAGTGCAGAGCTGCACCAGCAGAACGCCTCCCACTGCACTTCGGCTACCCTTAGCCTTTCGAGGTACTGGTGGTGGCAGTGCAGGTCGTACCACGAAGCATCAGCCGACCTCCTACGAAGTGCAAGTTTAATGGCATGCGTTTCATGTTTTTGTTGTTTGTGGGTTGTCTTTTGTGGTATATATAGAAGTTCTTGGTACATAGGCACCTCAAGATATGGCTGCTGACTCGAAGATGCGCGCCGCAGCTCAATACTGTAAACTTCTATCTGGGTGCGGACTCGATAATGGAGGTTGGGAGTGAGAGACAGGTCGAGTGGCCTTCGGCCCATTCCGTGCCTGGGTCGTGGATGCATGTTGTTAGGCTTTTGCGGGCCTCTTGTGGCCTCTTGGGGAACCTCTTCGAAGGGATGAGAAAAGGGGCTTTGGAGAAGGCCAATGGGATTATGGAAATGCTCCGTATCATCTGTGGATCGATTGCAAACGTGAGTCGCTCGCACATAAAGCGTGGAATAATGGTGATAAACACATACGCACATGGTAACCATGCGCAGTCGAACACGAGCCAATTCTGAGAAGAGCATATTGGCCTACTGTACGCCCAAGATGAAACATTCGTACCTCCCAAACTCCTCGTCGGCAAACCAGTCGGAGAGGTATACTGTGAAGGCCTTACGGCCAGCGCCGCCGACCCAGAATGACGACGACGACGACGACCACGACAACAACGACAACGACGAGCTGATGACCCTGGCTCAGGCTCGGGACATGGGGCGGGCGGTGGAGGGAGGAAAAGGAGGAACAATCCGGAGGAGGGAGACCTTCCTGCCATCAGGTAATCAGGTAATCAGCAGGAGGAGGAGGAGGAGGAGGAGGAGGAGGAGGAGGAGGAGGAGGAGGAGGAGGAGGAGGGGGAGGAGGTTAGGAGGAGGAGGAGGAGGAGGGAAGAGGAGGAGGAGGAGAAGCAGGAGGATGATGATGATGATGATGATGATGATGATGATGATGATGATGATGATGATTGATGATTAGATGATGGATGTGATGATGATGATGAGGAGGAGGAGGAGGAGGAGGAGGATGAGGAGGAGGAGGGGAGGAGGAGGATCAGGTGGAGGAGGAGGAGGGGCGGAGGAGCAGGGAGGAGGAGAAGCAGGAGGAGGGGAGGGAGGAGGAGGAGGAGGAGGAGAAGGAGAGGAGGAGGAGGAGGAGGAGGATCAGGAGGAGGATCAGGAGGAGGATCAGGAGGAGGAGAGCCGTCTGTCTCCTCGGGGCCGGGCCAGGGCTGGGGCCTGGCCCGGCCACGGGCCTGGGCCGGGTGCAAGGGGATGGAGGGGGCCGGGGCTGGGGCCGGGGCCGCGGGGCCGAGGCGGAGGGAAGGGGCCTGAGCTCACTTGCCGACAGAGCGACCACCACCCTGTGTTCTCCACAGGGCGTACCGCTGGGGGGGGTCCGACCCCCCCCCCCCTGCCCCCCCCCCCAGGACCCCCCCCCGGGCGCATCTAACTCCTCCCAGGACCTCCGGCACGAATGGGACATGTTCGACAGCTGCGCCCGGCCAGTCCACCACTGGCTCCTGGCCAGCTACACGTGTGTGCTAGCTTTCAGGACTGCCTTGGCCGAGCGCCTGCTTGCACGCCTTCCTCGCTGCCCCCCCGCCTCTCCTCCCTCCTGGCTCCTCCTCTGCCCTTGCAAGTCCGCCAGCCCTGCCTCCCTCCCGCTCTCCCCTCTGCCTCCCTTCATCCCCTCCCTCCTTGCGCCCACATTTCCTCCCCTGCCTGATCGCCTCATCTTCCATGCGTGTGTGTATATATATATACACATAAACGTATGTTCACACGATGTATAATATTTGTGTATCAGAGTGACGGGGCCGAACGGTCATTCATCGTCCCTGGGTGCGTGGCTGAAGTGGGTTTCGGCGATGCGGGGTGTTGTTGTTGTTGTTGTTGTTGTTGTTGTTGTTGTTGTTGTTGTTGTTGTTGTTGTTGTTGTTGTTGTTGTTGAACATTATTTATTCTAAAGAATAATTATTGTTGGGCCCCCTGGTGCGCGCCCCCCCTGCGCCGCCTAGGCCGCAGCTACATTTTCATCATTTTCGTGAGGAAGCCTCAGAAAAGAGGGTGTGTACAGGAACCGGTTGTTTTGTTGTAATCCGCTTTCCCTTGCAAAAAACAATAGAAAATGACATTTCTTGTTCTAATATAATCAAATTTCAAGAATCCCTTGCAAAAAATAAGGTAAAGTGGACATTCGCGCGCGCAAGACGAAATCCTTCCAAAAGCTTAGTGTTCGGAACGATTTTAACATAAAAACATCAAAAACCAATGGTTTTTCAACAAAAAAATGTCAAAATCTCATCCCGCGCGCTCTTGCGGATTCGTAGGAAACCCAACACTTTTTAAACATTTCTGTCAACCGGGCTTTTGCGAGCAACTTTTTCGAACTTCTGCGACAACGGTTGCGCACCTGCCAGGGCCATCATCCCTGTCAAATAATACATGCGGGACACATTCGTTTTTTCTTCGCGCGCGCACGCCGAAATCTCCAAAAACCATTGGGCTTCTTAAGAATTTTAGCACCGCGCATCATAAAATCACACGAATCGCACCGTAGGTCCTCGAAAAACACCTGCACGACTTTTCAAAATTTCTACCCGCGCGCGCTGTCCGAATCCCGTAGATCTACCCGCGACGCATCTTGGCACACTTTCGGACGTATTCCAGCGGCTGTGCACCCAAGCTGGTATTCCGAACTGGAGAGCGCACGTCTTCGTCGGGCCCGGCGGCTGGGTGTATGCGGGCTTGCGCAGGCTGTTGCATCTCCTGGGTATTCACGTGCACTCCGAGGTGGTATCAGGTCTGTCGTACAGGCGCATGGCGAGCCTGGACGTATTTGTGGCAACACACACGGGACCCATGGGTATTGAGCCGCAATCTATGGCTCTGTGGAATGCCTCCCACGACGTCAACGATGGTATCACCTATTTCCCGAAGCAGGATCATTGGTGGCACATGCCAGTATGGCGTTCTTGCGGGCAGTCCCAGTATGGCAATGTCATGGATTACCAGGTGGATCTGCGTATGCCGGCGCATGTCCAGGGCGTCCTGGCGGTATTGGCGCCCCTCGCACGCACGGGCGATGTATCCGTGAGGAGGCGCATCGGCACCATGCTTGGACACTTGGCCCCTGATGTATTTCTGCCAGGAGCCCAGCTGGCAGCATTGCGCCCCATCCGTGCCATCAGGGACGGGCGTGTGCCAGAAGATGACGAGCGCACGAACTCGTCTCTTTAGAGCCGCGGCGGGGAAAAGACGGTGGGCGGGCGTGCAAGCGCCGTTCCCGCCCCTCCTCTCTCTTCTCTCCTTTCCTCCTTGTCCTGCTCCTCCTCGTCCTCCTCCTCCGGCGGGGGGCGTGAGGATCCGGCATCGCTCACAACCATCGGGGCAACCATCGGGGCAACCATCGGAACGACCATCGGGACAACCATCGGGGCAATCATCGGGACAGTCATCGGGACAACGATCGGGACAAGCACAACCATCGGGACAACCATCGGGACAATCATCGGGATAACGATCGGGACAACCACAACCATCAGGACAACCATCGGGACAACCATCGAGACAACCATCGGGACAACCATATCCTCTCTCTCTCTTGTGTATTCCCACATCCCTCAGGGATTTGCCCTAAAGATGTGATCAACTATCTTGTGAGTACGTATCATGTGTGTCATGTGTATCATGTACCATATGCATCATATGCAACAGATGTTCTGTGGAAGGCTTAACAACTTCTGTGGGTTAACAAGGCTTAACAACTTCTGTGGGTGTACGAACGTAGGCTTAACAACTTCTGTGGGTGTGTACTCCACGCCAGTGTAGTAGCCACGGTCGTCCGCAGGCCACGAAGTGAAGTGTTCGAACGTCATAGGGCGGGAAGCTGGGTGTGGGTGGTGGCGAAGAGTCGTGTGGTTATTTGGTAGAGCTTGCACTGCCC